TCTCTCTCTCTCTCTCTCTCTCTCTCTCTCTCTCTCTCCGTTCATTTCACCATCTCAATCGCTTCGCTTTTGTCGTGTGGCCGCCGCTGCCCCCCACCCCCCAGTCGATTTTCCTCCCCCGCCTTCCTTCTGTTTCTTCTCTCTCCGTCTATTTCTCTTTTCCCTCCCACATACTTCGTTCATTGGCTGTCATTTCCTCAACCCAATCTGCCCTTTTCCTCCTCCTCTACCTCTTCTCCTTCCTCCGCCTCCTCTTTTCATTTCCCCTCTCCCATTTTGTCCTCCCCTCTTTATCTTCTTTCTCCCAATTGCTCATGTACTGTCTCTCTCTCCCTTTCTCTTTCTCTCTCTCCTGAAGATGTCATTTAGTAGTTGGAGTTCTCTAACAAGAAATCATTGTGTCTCCTGTGGGGTGGGGGGTGATGGATTCAGAGGATGAAGGGAGGAAAAGGAGGGAGGGGAGGGCGGGTGCTTGGCTGAAAAATGAAGAGTGGAGGGAGGGAGAGATGTGGGCAAGAGAGAGGAATGAGAGAGGAAGAGCGAGAAAAAGGAGGGGGTGGAAGTTCAGTCCGGCATCAATAAATCACTTTAGAGAGAGAATGGGGTGGGGAGAGTGTGTGTTTGTATGTGTGCGCACACACACACACACACACACACACACACACACACACAGAGCTGAGTCTAGCTGTCAACAAGACAAACAGCCTGCGGCCATAATGATGTTGTCATGATCTCTGCATGCATATCATTACTGGTCCTAACGGCCTTGTTGGGCCTGCCGCTAAACATGTTTTGTGTGTGTGTGTGTGTGTGTGTGTGTGTGTGTGTGTGTGTGTGTGTGTTACACATCACATGACATCACTTATAACACTGATAACTGCACTAATACTGGGAAGTGAGGGATGGATGGAAAGAGCAATAAATGGAGTAAGATGGAAAGAAAGGATGAAAGAGGAATGGAAAGAGAGATGGGAGGGAGGGAGGCAGGGAGGGAGGGAGAGTTTGCTACTGGCTGTGTAGTAGAGCAGATCGAGACAGACACACACCCACAGCAAGAATCACTGACCCCCAGCAGGAAACATACACACACTCAAGCATGCAAAATGCACACACACACACACACACACACACACACACACACACACACACACACACACACGAACACACACACACGAACACACACGAACACGAACACACGCATACACACAGTGATAAAAGATGGTGAATCTTGCATCTCTCTCACACACTCACACTCACACACATGCATGCACTCAAACACATACACACTCTCACACACTCTGTGTGGGCTGGCTGAGGCCACAGCAGATGCTGTCCATGAATATTTTAGCCAAACTCCCTGGCAGAGTTTCCATTTGCATGGACCAAATGTAAGCAGCTGAAATATTTACCACACTGGCCTGTGTGTGTGTGTGTGTGTGTGTGTGTGTGTGTGTGTGTGTGTGTGTGTGTGTGTGTGTGTGTGTGTGTGTGTGTGTGTGTGTGTGTGTGTGAGAAAACCTTTATGAGTGTGTGTGTGTGTTCTTTTTTTTCAAGCTCAATCTTGGCTGTGCGAGTGTTTGTGTGTGTGTGTTTATTCATCAAAGCGACAGTATCTTTTTTTTCTTTTCTTTCTCCCTCTCTTTCAGACCGAGATTGCCAAGCGGTTGAACGTGATCTGTGCTCAACTCATCCCATTCCTGTCACAGGAGGTGACACACACACACACACACACACACACACACACACACACACACACACACACACACACACACACACACTGTGCTGCATCCAGTCCGCTCTCTCGTCTGACAGCAGCCCACACAGAAGGCGTGCACATGTATTCACACAATAGCCAATAACCCACACACACGCAAAGAGCTGCAGACGGACAGAACTTCAAAGCACATTCCTCAATTGCCAAATGGTTGCATGCATTCCCGTGATTCCCAAAGCTAGAGTCTGAATACTTTTTCATTCAAATTATGAAATGTTAATTAATTTTACAGAGGGGAAAAAAGAACATTTGAATTTTAAGTCAAGTATTTAATTTTGAATCCACCTACCTTCACTGACCTTTTGGTTTGTTCCACAGCACCAGCAACAGGTGGTCCAGGCCATGGAGCGCGCCAAACAGGTGACCATGGGGGAGCTAAATGCTTCGATAGGGGTACGTGGGCTCCCCCCTCTGCCTCATAGCGTGTGTACCTTATCCTCCCATTTATTTATATTCCCACCTTTCTTTTTCTTTTATGGAGGCAAACACCCATTGGCCAACTCTAAAATGTGCAGTTTTCTTGGGTAATTTTTTCCCCTCATTCGAGTGGCCTTCTCAGGTACCTGAACAGCATCAACAATTAAATATTGGCCCATGTAAAATAGGCTCTAAATAATATTTCAGTTTGAGTTATTTTTCACTTTATCTCCCCATCACGCTGCAGAACTTTCCCTCCCAAAGAGCCACTGCCTTGACCTCAGCATTCTCCTCTCGTGCACATCGCAGCACTTAGTTCCCTTTCTTTCCTTCCACCTTTCTTCGTCTTGATCACTTCCTGGTGAGCCACTTCTTTCAGTACTTGTAAGTCACCCAAATCTCTCTTTCTTTTGTCTCCTCTCTCTGTTTTTTTTCTGCTTTTCCTCTCTACAGCAACAGCTCCAGGCCCAGCACCTCTCCCAGCATGCCCAGGGTTTGCCAATGGGCCCACACCCATCAGGACTGCCCCACCCCGGCTTGGCACTTGGCGGAGGTTCCGGCCTGCTGGCCCTGTCCGGGGCTCTCGGGGCCCAGCTGGCTGCCAAGGATGAGAGAGCACACCTAGAGGCAGCGGCCGCTGCTGCCGCTGCCGCAGAACACCACAGAGGTACAGAAATACTTTAAATGATGCTTGTTTACTTGGTTTTCTTTTAGTTTCTGTTTCTCAAAGCAAAAAGTGTAAAACTCTAGATGAGTTTAGGGTTGGGGCGAGAGTTGGATTGCATTCTTAGACATGAAAACGTCTCGCTGAGGTGGGAGTAAAGTAAACAGTGAAGCTTGGCTCGATGGATTCTGATGATTGGCTTTGCTTCGGATTTTTGGCAGGGCACAGGAGTGTTGCTGATAATAACACTCCTCAGGGATTTTTTTCCACTGAGTCATCAGCTGTACACTGATGTAAAGTGATGGCAGATAATCTTACGTGTGTGTGTGTGTGTGTGTGTGTGTGTGTGTGTGTGTGTGTGTGTGTGTGTGTGTGTGTGTGTGTGTGTGTGTGTGTGTGTGTGTGTGTGTGTGTGTGTGTGTGTGTGTGTGTGTCCTTGTCTGCATTTCCTACTGTCCTGTGGGCTGACACCTGGATGTGTTTGGTGCTTCTGCCTGGATTGAGCAGACCGTGAAGCAGGACCAGTGAGTACAAATTGTTCACACTTATATCAAGTACACTTACACTCCTCCAACCGTTTGATATTATAGGCAAATTTCAGAGTATAAAAAGCTAAGGCTGTGAAAACTGTGGACAAGTCCAAGAAATAAGTTCTTAATGTGGATATAAGACATATTTTGTGGTTAGGTTACAGTTCCTAAATACTTAATTTGACATGCATTGGAAAAAAAGGGAATACGTAAACCGAAAATATTAAGTGTTCCTGGAAATAACTGATGGAATTAGAAGACGTGCTCATTGGAACTAAAGTAAATATTTATTCATTATTAATTAATTATTTGAATCTTTATTGTCCATATATGTAAACGAAACACATTCTGACACATTTTTAAGATTCAACTTATTATTTATTAGTGGGAATAATCATTTTTTGCCTTGCTTCATTTTCACTGAATAAAAGAAAATAGAAAAAAAAATCATGATGATGTGACATTTGTTGGTGTTGGGGTACTTTCTTACATCTGGACAACAAGATTTGTAGGCCAGGGCATCTCTGCAGCACTACAGTAACGCTGTTTTGTCACACAGATTACCTTTTTTGAAAATTGCAGCTTCTGCGTTTTGGATATTGGCTATATTGCAATTTCGATAATAGGTCTTTGCCACTTTGATTATTTTCTCTGGATATGAAATTAGCATAAAAGCATAAAAACAACATCTTATTGGCTTGGATTTTGCTTTCTTTGGCTTTTATACTGCAGGATTGCAGTAACCGATGCTGGACCCTTCATGACACTTAAGATCTCATCACTATATCACCACTACTATAAAATAATACTGGATTAGAAAAAACTGTGCATCAGTGCCAAAGCACGCTCAGGCAGCCCCACAGTCTTCTCTGCTCCCTTAAAGAAAACTTGAAGCATTCTCTTTCTTCCTCTCACTCCTACAGTGAGCTGGCCGATCGATGCCGGCTGATATTTTTTCACATTCATCTCTGCAGCTTATGAGCCTGACATGATTTATGCAGTCCCTCTCACCTCATTATCACCCTCTTCCGTCCTCTCTGCCCTCACTCCCTTTTTCTTCACTCCTCTCTCCTTCCTTCCTCCTTCTCCTCCTCCTCTCTGCAGAGCTCTATGTCCAATGGGGATAAGGGTCGCCCAGCAGACTACCTCAGCAACGGCAAGAAGAGGAAAGCTGATGAGAAGGAGTTCATGACAGACTATGTGAGGCACTTTCATAACACTGTTAAATGTTTAAGTAACTGAAGGAAAGTTTCACCCAACTCTGCCAGCTCTCGTCCGATAAGACCAGTGGACGGTGAAGACCTGCGCTCTTTTTTAGACCGTAATTGAAATATTCACACTCCCTGATGTCATCACTGTATTATTGTGGAAAAGCAGATATATTAAGCATTGTAAGGGATTATTTTTAGTGCAAGATAAATGAATGTTGGGTAGTTCCGCATTATCGCTTTGTTTGAGAAAACCTGCAATATTAAAAACAGCAGCGCCTTAGAGGATTTAACCTCTCCAAGTTAAACATCTAAAATTAATTACGTTTGTACTGTCCATTGCATTTACTTCGAGCCATCTCATCTCAGGCAATAAAATGTCAAGATAAGATATTTCATTTTCCTCTATTTGCAGTGTAACAAATTATAGCTCTTGAGAGAGTGATTTTTTTTTTATTAATACAACTCTTTCCAACACACCTATTTGTGTGTGCGTGTTGTATATTTCTACATGTAATCTACATACATCAGACAGCAGAGCAGCAATATCTAATCTCACTTTCTCTTCTCTCACAGGGCAGCGATGCAGATAAGAGTGATGATAATTTGGTTGTGGATGAGGTTAGTAGGCAGCCGTCGGCCTCTGTTGGCCTCTGTTCACCGCTTTCATCTGCATACATCATGTAAACACACCCAGCAGGACCATCTGAATAAAGATAATAACAATAATAAACCCCCTAACCCACCTCGGCCTGCCCTTATTTCAAAACGCATGCCACAAAGTTTATATGCATACACACACTTGCTCTCTACACCTGCAGGTATGACTGTTGAGGTTATATAAGTTTGTAAGTGTGGAAAAATGGATGGCAAGGTTGTAAGATGTTGTAAGATATTTTGTTTCCTATGTAGATTTAAAAAAAGCAAAGCAACTAATCAGCAACATCTATACATTCTTTAAATGGTCATCTTTTGAAATCTAAATGAATACATGTGTATCTGTGTGTAAGATAAAATAGTAACCAAGGTTGTTCCTGAAAGCCTTTACTTCGCAGTGTTGGGTAGGTCTTGTGTGGAATTCTTTTTCTAGTGCCAGGAAGTGACTTCTTTTATGTGCGTTGCAGTTAGTCTGAAATCAATAAAAGAAGGACAATAGTGTGCAAGTCATTCCTCATATACATACTGGTCATTAACATGCTTTTAGTGTCAGTGATGGAGGACAAAATCACGGTCCTTGTTTTGTGAAAAAGAATTACAGAAAGCTAATATGATTTTGAAACAATTTGTAACATAAAACAGGAATTTCATACTAAGAAGTCTGCAACTTTGGAAAATACCCACGTGATTTGTTGAGAATGTGAATCCTCAAATTAACTTAAATAAATGAACTTTGGAATAAAGAACAAGGACTGTGTATTTTGTCTTGCGTTGGAGGCACATTAGGAAGTGATTTCTTAAAGGTCATTATAAACAGTGGTCGTCATTACAGCAAGCAAAACATACTTTAATATTCAAAAGGGCCTACTTGAAAAATGTTCAATCTATCCTCTAAGTCAGCATGTTTGAACAAGTAAAACAACATGAGAAAAAAACAAAACAATATTGGGCCAATATTTAATTGATTTCTAGGTGGAATAAACAAATAAATCAACATTTCTTTATTACTCTTCTGTGTAATAAAGTTTTATGTGTTTTGAATTCAGGACCCGTCGTCCCCCCGCAGTGTGCAGTCCTACTCATCCAGGGAGAACGGCCTGGACAAGATGCCCCCGTCCCGTAAGGAGGGCCCCCCTCAGGCCAGCCCCACCTCCCTGGCCTCCTCCAGCAGCGCCCCCTCCCCGTCTCGTGGCAAAGAGCCCCCACAGGTAGACGCACACATCTGAATGAATACAGGTGGACCACAAAAAGACAAATATTTGAATAGTCATGCAGAACACACATGGTATATTTCTGTATAGAACACCAGTGTTTCCTTGCTGTCAGCACACACTCTATTCTGCTGTTTTGTTCGGGTCAAGAGTTATTATGCTGTATATTCAACATTCCATATATTCAGTCGGGGCTGTTGACGTCCCACAGCCTTCCTCAGGTCCCATCTGCCCTCAGTCATCTTTACTGTCATTCTCTTTTTGTTTATGTGCTTTTCTTTGCCATTCTCCTTCTTCTTAATCCCTGGCAGACTCCATCTTTCACTGTTAAAATAATTTACCCCCATTTTATCTAATTCTAAAGACAGGGTATTTAGTTCACTTTTCATTCTAAATTTATTTTATTTTCCATCTTGAACACTTTTTATCCTCTGTCCTTCAAGAGGGAGAAGTCTAGCACTCCAGGCATGAAGCCAGGGACCCCTATGTCTCAAGAGTCCAACACTCCAGGACCCAGCGGACCTCCACAGTTCAGACCTGTCCCTGGCAAGCCCGGTGTGGACCTCGGTAAGACTGTACTTTTATTGTTGAAAGGGAGCATTGAACTCTAGCAAACCAGAAGTTGGTATGAAGTGGAACTGTAAAACTTGCCACTGGAAAAACTGTTAGTTCTTGCCATGTTTAGAGACCAAAAGACAAATGTCTCCGTCCCCTCCTCTCCGGTACTCACACTTCCATTGCACACAGAATCAGTTAAAAAATATGAATCTGCCTTTGCAGAAATACGTTTTTGTTATATGTTGTAATTCTAACAACATCGGGCTGCAGTAGTTGGTATGGGTGTCAGCCAGCTCCCCACCACCCACCCACCATCTGGACTTAATAAGCAGCTGTGGGCAAAAATATTCAGCGCCCCTCACTTTTTAAATGGAAAGATTAGGAGAGGTGATGGACTGTGACTGTGAGCTGCTTCATAATGAGCCTCCATCTATTCCAGTGTATCTCTTTCTCTCTTTTTTCACATCACCTGTTATCCCCCGCTCTGCTTTCACACACACACACCATTATGCATGCATATGCTCGTAGATGCAGCTACATGCATAGAAAGAGGATGTGGAGGATGTGTATGCGAGCACACACACACACACACACATATATACATGTACTGTCTCGCTGCAGGGACACATGGTGGCCAGCAGGGATCAGTAGTGGTCCAGTGCTGCAGTTAGTGATGTCCTGCCTTTTGTATGGTAGACGGCAGCTTGTTCACAGCCTGTCAGTCACAACTGTCTCACACACTGAGAGGCTCTGCAGAGGGAGTCAACGTAATAAAATGTGGAGCTGATTCTGGTCTATACTAAAATGAAAGATACAATTCTGAGTGACTGACATATACTGCCTCCATCGATCATTTGTTCACTTAAATATTTCACAACAAATTAACCCTCTCTTGTCTTTTCTCTCTTGTCTCCCTCCCTTCGTCCTCCAGCTCTGGGTCTGAGAAACCCCCTGGCTGTGCAGGGAGCGTACCCTCCAGGGGCTTTCGGCCTGCCCCCTCCAGGGGTGAATGGGGACCTGCCCGGGGCAGCGGGCTATGGCGCCGGCCTCCACTTGGTCTCCCCCCAGATGAACGGAGCTGCAGCAGTAGCCGCAGCAGCAGCTGCCGCAGGCTACGGACGGTCCCCCGTGGTGAGCCAGACGCTCAGCAGATAATTTGTCTTTCCAGTGTCACTGTCATATGTAATACCTCAGCATATAGTAAACCCGTCAGAGAGGGCAGAACGAGGGTTATATATACGGAAAAGGAGGGAGTGTTTTAGGGGGAGAGCAGCTGCATTGTCATTAATCGTTAACAATCTATGACCTTGGCTCTTGAAAAGTCTCTTTGCTTTTATATGATCTCATTTTATTCTGATCTTTCATCTGATACTGTCTCTGCATTAGATATTTTTATGAGGGAACTCCTCTCTTCTTCTCTCCTCTCCTTCATATCAGCACAGGTATGTTTTTCAGTGTTTTTTCTCACAACTTTCTTCCTATTCTCTTCTAGGTGGGCTATGAGTCTCCACACCCACATATGAGGGTCCCTGGGCTGCCTGCCAGCCTGCAGTCAGCCGCCTCCGGAAAACCGTGAGTTTCCTCTGTCTTGCCTGCTATCATTCAAATCTTCACCTGTTCACTATTAACTGCACTCAGGTCCTCCTCAGATTTCAATTACAGCACCAGAAGAAAAAGATGAACTATGAAAGATGAAGGGAAAAACAAATGGAAACTATTTTAATAAAAACAGTTTGGAGCCTCCAGAACTTTGTTAGGTCAAGTCCCCATTGGTGAAATAGGCAATCTATGCCTATACATTATGAACTTTTGCTTAAAGCACCTAAAAAATATTTTAAAACAGTTGTTAGCAATGAGACTTTCATTTTGGCTACACTTTACTTTGTTGGTTTTTTTTTGTTTTTTTTAACTTCTGCAGATAAATTGCCAATGTGGAGGACATGACGTCAATTATATTTGCAGAGCAGCTACAATAGACACAAGTACTCAAACCGTATTTTTCAGGTGTCCAGACATCTTTAATAAATGTCAGGAAATGCAAAAAACACAAGTTGGAGTATGAGGTAGGAAATATGTTCTGTAACTTCTGAGCAGTCTGGAGTGGTCCTCATCAAAATTACATACTTATTATTCTTTTTCTTTGTTGAATAGTTCAACAGAGTCCTCTTTTAGAGACAAAGACCAAATAATAAAATGTTTGCCCTCTCTCCTCTCCCGCTACGTGCTTCATCTGATGAAGTGTCTTTGCTGAAGCCTATTAATCTCCCAGTTATTCATCCATTTCTCTTCCCTTCCTTCTATCTTCTCTCCAGCGCCTACTCGTTCCACGTGAGCGCAGACGGCCAGATGCAGCCGGTGCCCTTTCCCCCAGATGCCCTGCTGGGCCCGGGAATCCCTCGCCACGCCCGTCAGATTCACACCCTGAACCACGGAGAGGTGGTGTGTGCCGTCACCATCAGCACCTCGACGCGCCACGTCTACACCGGAGGCAAGGGCTGCGTCAAAGTGTGGGACATCAGCCAGCCAGGAAGCAAGAGTCCCATGGCCCAGCTGGACTGTCTGGTGAGACATGAGGGAGGAGAAGGAGGCACTTAGATGGATGTTTGTAGACTCGTATTTAAAGTTTGTTGTCCATCTCATGTCTAGTAATGTTGCTTTACTACCAAAAGTGATGCTCTTGTTTTCCACACATAAAAACACACTTTGGGTGATGAATCACCTTTGTGTTGTTGTCCTAAAGCCAAATCCTCCAGCATTGTTATTTATTGCTGTGATACTGCTGTAGCAGCACGCTTAACTTTGCATCTTTGTATCCCCTTGTCATCAATTACAGAGTAGTACAACATATTTTACTGTATATAAATGTTTATATTTGTTGTTTTATTATGTCCAATCAGAACAGGGATAACTACATCCGCTCCTGCAAGCTGCTCTCCGACGGGCGAACCTTGATTGTCGGCGGGGAGGCCAGCACGCTGTCGATCTGGGATTTGGCCACGCCCACTCCTCGCATCAAGGCGGAGCTGACGTCGTCCGCCCCCGCCTGCTACGCCCTGGCCATCTCCCCTGACAACAAGGTCTGCTTCTCTTGCTGCAGCGACGGCAACATCGTCGTCTGGGACCTTCACAACCAGACGCTGGTCAGGTAAGAGGAGAGACAGGAGGAGGTATTACCAGGTTTTAGTAGATGGAAACTGGGAAAATGGCCAGATTCTGTTCAAGTAAAGAGAAAGGAGGAGAGCGTGATGGAAAAGGATAGGTTTTGGAGAGGGAAATGAGAGGAGGGACGGTTGCACAGAGAGACAATAGTGCAATTTATTCAGTTTCACAATCTGCACTGTCAATCATAAAGTAGAGAGTGGGAAAAGCAAACAGTGTAGCAGCCAAAGCATGGAGGATGAAAACAGCATAGAGGAGGAGGCATTTAGTTTCCTGCACAACCTGTGTGTCTGTGTGTTTTTAGACTGTCTTACTTTATAGCACTATATATGTTTTCTATATGTTGATAGATGGTATACCCACCTGAAATTTCTGTACTTCACCAGCTCTTACACACATCTAGGTGGCATTGCAAAATATATAATAGCCTAGGCTATAAATGCTAAGGTATGTGGCACTGGTCCATGCTGTATACTAAAAAAAAACACTGTACTTGAATCCCCGCTGTTTATCATTTATAAACATTATACAAAGATTTAGTACATATTGTATAATGCACTATAATGTTGTTGTACGCTGCTTAAAGGACATTTTAAGTACAGTATTTGTCCACAATTGTAACTTCTATAAAGACATTTATTACAACTATGTTTTACTGTGTTGTCATTCATTGTCTGTTTATACAGCAGCCTCCATATATAGGCGCCCTCAATAAGAGTTATAGTTGTTGACAAATACAATAAACACTTACCGCTAAGTATTGTTATTAAATGCACTATTATTAAATGTTTATATACTGCTTATGAACGGTGAATGGGGGGAACTGAGGGCTAGAGAGCTACAGATGTATTTGTGTTTACGGTGTGTGTCCACCTTTAAGACGCTTGTGTGTCTCCTCCCTGCAGGCAGTTCCAGGGCCACACAGACGGAGCGAGCTGCATCGACATCTCCAACGACGGCACCAAACTGTGGACGGGAGGGCTGGACAACACAGTCCGCTGCTGGGACCTCAGAGAGGGACGCCAGCTTCAGCAACATGACTTCACCTCGCAGGTAAACAGACACACTCTTATATATACACACACAGACCCGCAGTCCAGCCTAATAAGGGTGCTGATTAGCATTAATGCTTTCCCACTCTCATCTCTCTTTCTCTCCTTCCATTGATTCCTTTCTTCCGTCTCCAGATCTTCTCTCTGGGCTACTGTCCGACAGGCGAGTGGCTGGCTGTGGGAATGGAGAGCAGTAACGTGGAAGTCCTGCACGTCTCCAAACCTGACAAGTACCAGCTGCACCTCCATGAGAGCTGCGTTCTTTCTCTCAAGTTTGCCTACTGCGGTACGTGCGCACACACACACACACACACACACACACACACACACACACACACACACACACACACACACACACACACACACACACACACACACACACACACACACACACCTACACACACCCACACACTATAGACTATATTGACTATAGAAGCAGTACAAATCTCCTGCTTCTCTCATTATTCAGGAACAGTCTCTTCCTTTTCACCTCTCCCGTTCTTATAAAAGCAGCACCTCCTCTCCGGCTTCTCCATATCTCACCTCCCCCGAGGCTTTATCTTTTGATGCCTGTGTGTGTTTCGTCCTGTAGGTAAATGGTTCGTGAGCACAGGCAAAGATAACCTCCTGAATGCGTGGCGGACACCTTATGGATCCAGCATATTCCAGGTAGGCCATAAAACACTTCAGCTTTCTGCAAACGCAAGATCTTTTTGTCAAGAATGTTTGTTTTTTTTCCTGCTTTTTCTTTTGTTTAAATACTAGAAGGTTATTTTGGGATACAAATCCATCAGTTTTCACTTGAATAACACCCACGATTCACTGACTGTAGCTAACGTGGCTTCTTCTCTGTCTTTGTGCTCAGTCTAAGGAGTCTTCGTCGGTTCTCAGCTGTGATATCTCCCCCGACGACCAGTTCATCGTCACCGGCTCCGGAGACAAGAAGGCCACAGTCTACGAAGTCATCTACTGAACTCTGATTGGCTAAGGAAAAAAAACTAATAATCAGGGGGCGGAGCTAAAGCTCCCTCCTGCACCAATGACTGTACAGAGCGTCGGTGGCATGGAAAACAAGAGACACTCAACTCCTACTTTGTTGTTTTGTTTACGTTTGTGAAAGAAATGAGAGAGAAAGAGAAGCAAGGGGGCACAAAGTCACATCTCTGGAAAAAAAACAAACTTTGAACTTTGTTTAATGCTCTGAGAACGCTGGTTAGTCTATAGCTGCGCAATTGTGGATTCCTCCAAAGAACTTTTGTTTATGTTCCTTTTTTTCCCTTTTTTAACAAAATAAAACCTCTGTAGTGAACAAGAAATTAGCAAAAAACTTATTTTTTTAGCCTTTGAATTTTTCGCAAACAGTTGGCCAGCATCGAGTGGAAAAAGACAGAGATGTGGGACTGAGGAAGTGTGGAAAGGTGGGGCTGGAAACTCTTAATGGAAAAATACGGTCCATATTCTGTGCTGTGTCTAAAAAAAAAAATGAAAAAAAGAGAAAAAAAAGAAAAAGGGAAATAAAAAAAAGTCCCAGTCTGGGTCAGCTTGGCCTGGTTTGGCCTGGTCCGGTCCAGCTCAGTCTGCAGCACGTGGCTGCTCCTCGGGGCAGCAGATGCATGGCAGATGGCAGGATGGTGTGCTGTGAAGTTCCAGCTTTTTTTCTTTCTCCTGGTTAAGTTTCAGCAGCAACATGATTGTATCATCTCCAGTACATACATGACAGAACAGTGTCTTTGTTCCTTTTCATTCAATTTTTGTTTTCCTTTATAAAAAAACAAAGCCAGGCTTATTCTGGAAATGTCTTTTGGGGAAACCAGCCTGGAACAGAAAACCACAACCCAGAGGACAGAAAACTGAAGGCGGTTCAAACAGCTCACAACAGGTACTCTCCAAGTTTTGGGGATGTGGCCTCTGCTATATTGTCATCCTCAACAGTAAATGTTTTTTTTCTATTGTATTTGTTAGGGCACATATAGGCGGACAGGTATTTTCACAATTGCATCATAAACCTTGAACCTTGCTATATATGGACATGTAAATAAAGTTCTCTAAAGGCAAACGAGGATCTGTGACTTGGGTTTGCTTTAAGAAAACTGGAGAGTGTGGGGCAGTTTTTATCTGTGATCTGCAGTGTTTCATTTGTGGTGTTGTATTTTATGAGCATCTTCTCTCCCAGAAAAACAGATTGAAACTGCTCCTCAAGGATCAATGCAGGTGTGATGGCGTGAAGGGTAGAAATGAGGTAGAGTGAGTGTGTGTGTGTGTGTGTGTGTTTCCACACTACTAGCTGTCAAACTGTTTCTCAACCACAGAACCCAGTCAGGCTCTTGCCAGATTAAATTTGGATGTTTAAAACCGGAAAAAAAAAATAATCAAAAGAAGTATTTGTTGAATATTTGTTTAAACCATAACCGCGAGAAAAGCGTGTGCTCACAGTGAGGTGCCAGAAAGCATCTTAGAAATATTTGGATGGATGTGAATGGTGAGTACACACTCTGCCTCCGCTCTGTTGTGATGGAAACGTTTCTCTCACAAAGCTTCTCCTCTAGTCAATGTCTGCATACTCGCACATACAAGAAAGCGTCTTCAGATTCAAAACCACAGCATGAGTGAGTTAGGATTCACAGCTCCTCTGTGACTGGAGCTCTGGGTAAATAATGCAGACGTACGGTTGTGTTTTTGTGCTGAGCTGGCTCGTAGCGTGGCGAGACAAAGGTGATCTGCAGTACAGTAGGCTGAGGAATGGATTATTACAGCAATAATACCCAAGAGGGAGTTCTTCAGTGATTATGTGTAGTGGTGACTGCCCTGCCAAGACAAAAAGCTTTAACTGTGAGAGAAGTAAACCTGAGGACAAAAAAAGTAAGTAAAGCAGTTATCTCCTGTCCAGAGTAAAGGATTATTGGCGTACATGTGGATAATATATCATTTAGCTTCAGTTAATTTCTTGTGGTGCAAGATTGAAACCATGGCTTTGACCTTTTGTCCTTTTTAAAATGCACAATACTGCTGAATTAAAGAAATGTATAGGAAATAAATTATTAAATAATTTTCCGCTGAAACTACCCGCCAGATTAAGTCATTTTAGTCCCTGATTAAATTAAATTAAGCTTTTCTGACTGATGCTTTAGCAGGAGCGTCTCATTGGGACTTATTTACCCCACAAGATACTCAAACATTTCAATGGAGCAGGTTTCAAAATATGCAATGAATGGGAATCTCAGCTGCCAATTAAACAACAAAGCCTTTGAAGATAGTTGGCATGCCTGTTTTATGTATTTTAAATTTAGGCCCAACATGTCAGTATCTTTTTAAAAATTCTACACATATGGAAATGTATGTAAATGAGCTCCAGTATCTCTGCTTTATTTGATGTGTGCAACTTTATCTAAAGAGACAAGAAGAGACCGCCAACACTGGTCACACTCCCAGTTGGTCAGATGTAACCCCGTGTTTAATGATTTCTGATGTGTACTGTCAGTGTTGTGCAAAAACAATGAATCACCAATTTGCCTTTTTGTTACTGTGATGAAATGGACAATGTCCTGTTTGTCAGAATCATTATGTAATCAAACTGCTGAGAGCTCTTGTAAATCCAGTTTTTGGAGGTTAGTGAAACGTTTGACATTTTTCCGACTGTGCAGAAGGTTTATTTCTTCACCAGGAGTTGATGGGTGGGCGTTCAGGAAGAATTATGGATGAAAGGCTGTGATTTTTCACTGGACAAAGCCGTTTCTAGATGCAGAGAGAATAAAGTATTCGTCTTTGGTTATTTGGCTTTTTCCTTCAGCATTTAAAATCTCAGGGGGGGCGGAAATAATCGACACAGCAGACACCTGAAAGGATGAACACAAGTTTGGTTTATTTTTCACACATAGTATTTCTTGTACAGCACATGGGAAACGCATCAGGAGGGAAGAAGACACAGAGCATTTAAAAAAAAAAAAAAAAGTTCCTTGGCTTTTTAAAAGAGAAACCAAACATGGGTTTGTAAAACGGAAATAAAAACTTTTTATAGTGTTGGAACAGAGAAAGCACAGGCAGGGGGTAGAGACGTTACCGACAGTTAAAGTATCAAATACAATGTCCCAAATATTCACGCTATACCACCAAATGCATAGCCATTATACAGCATCATTCTGAGTAGTATACAAGCTTGTGTATGAGAATATCATTTAGGTCTGTCTGTCACTGACAGCCAGAAAGGAAAAGAGGCAGGCAAAGGCATTAAACTGTACAGATGATCTCTGACTCCTCACTGCTGGTACAGTAGCCATTGTAGAAGTCCCTCATAATTCTTCTATCCCCGCACTAGCACTGCAGCGAGAAACATGGATAAATCTTGCTAAAAGTTTATACAATTGAACTAAATTGCATACTTGTAATGTAAAATTCATCCCTTAGTAAAACTGTGGCTGCGAGACCATTCACTGCACTTACTGAATAACATCAGATTTGTTTCATTCTATCAGCAGAAGTGGAGCTTTAGTGCAACAAGCATGCAGTAAAAAGTGGGACCTCTTCGATGACTAAATCTGTATCGTCCGACGCCTGCTGTACACTGACCACAGACTCAACAGAAACATAGTTTAGTTGCACAATAAGGACTGAAAACCGATTATAGTACATTTACTACCACTTTTGAAAAAAGGGGGATAAAACAAAAACAACAAACAGAAGACAGAGGATCTTTTTCTATTATTTTTTTTTCTTTACATGGGACTGCTGATGTTGTATGCCCTCTGCCTGTCACCATCACCAAGGATAAAAATACACTGATAAAAAAAAAGGTAAAAGAACAGAAATATTTTTCCCCCCTGTGTTCCACTTGATTTTGTATGTCTGCATGTGTGAGTGCATCCCTCTCTGTTTGCTCCCCCGAACCCGAAACGCAGTCATAGGCAACCCCCGATACATAAACATATAATTACATAAGACAAGCAATCACTATTCATAAAAAATACTGAAATAAATGAGTAATAAAAGAAAAGCTTGAAATGTGCCTTTTTAGTCTACACATTGGTGACGCATGTTCTATAGAAGCAGAGAGCTCTGATATACAGTTTGCCTGCCAGTCTGGAATATGATACAAGGAGGATTGAAAAGTAAGAATCGGGTTCACAGGAACACTTCGACGTTTTGGGAAATGTTCGCTTTCTTGTAGAGACCTCGATTGATACCACTCTCAGGTCTCTACAGTAAATACAAGACTACAGCCAGCTGCCGTTTAGCTTAGCGTTAAGCATAAAGACTGGAAACGGCTCGGCTCTGTCCAAAGGGAACAAAATCCACAAACCAGCATCTCTTAAGAACACTCAGTAACAAGTTAGATCTTTTTTTTTTCTCAATGCATACCGTAACTGAAATATAAATTCTATGAAACTAGCAGGCAAATCCAGGAAGTTACTGCTTTGGACTCAGAAACAGTCCGACACATAACCCACTGTGAAACAGTGATTTCTCATTTTAACACTTTGGCTTTTGTGGGGATAAAAACAAGATGAGATGTTTTAACTGCTGAGCTTCAGAGGTGCTGGTGTGCAGATTTTATTTTTTTTTACCTTGTTACCGTTTTCCTGTTTTCACTCTTTATGTTAAGCTAGGTTAGAAGGCTTCATACTTAACACGAGAGTGGTATCTATCAATCCTTTCATCTAAATCTCCCCAAAATGTGGAACTTTTCCATTAAGGTGTTTAGCATCTCAATTAATAGCAATCAATAGCTTATATTTAACCAGAGCACTTTGAACACTAGCACATCAGCAGGTAGGCAGAGATGGAGATAATGACTCTGATAAACATGTAATCTCATCTGGTTTGCAAATGAAAACAGCAACTAGTTGCATAAAATTTGAAAGGATTCGGATTAGTCGCTGCTTAGTTGACTGCTGATGATAGCGTAATCGGTTGGTGTTAATTTGCCCTCTTGTCTGCCTTACAGTGAAGTTGGCGTGCTGCTACTTCATCTTGCTGACAGTGCCTTTAATGAGAGTGAGTGCAGCGCCCGGTGTCAGGAGAACAATCCAGAGGAATTAGAGGGAACAGCTCGGCTGATGTTCTCTGTTTGTGTCTGTGGGCCCTGGGAGAATCCCATTGACTCCGCTGCTCATTAGACGCTGCCTTTGTCAGACCAAAATAAAATAGATATTAAGCAGTGAGACGGGGAGTGCTGCGATGAATGTTTAATTGGGTGCTCTGTGTGTTGTGTGTGTGTGTTTCTGTCTTCCTACGATTACCTCGAGGGGGTGTATCTGAGTGTGTGTGTTTGTGTGTATTCTTGCCTGATGACGTGCGCCTGTGTCTGTGTGTCTGTGTGTGTGTGTGTGTGTGTGTGTGTGTGTGTGTGTGTGTGTGTGTGTGTGTGTGTTAGCAGGTCTATGTTTCATGTCAGTGTATGTGGATATCTGAAGCGGCCCCCTCCATCTCGGAGCGTCATCGTTCCCCAGCTCCTGACACCTCTCGCTGGGGAGAGCGAGCTGCGGCGTCAGCCTCATTAAGGCTTCCACTGTCTGGCTAATGAATCGATTGTGTGGTATCAGTGCTCCTGGCTGGCGCTCCCACAGTGCCGCTCCGCGCCTCCTCTGGGGGCCTCCCTTCCACTGAGCTCTTAATCAGGAAACAGCCCTAATTACCCTGCCTCCCTCCTCCTCCTCCTCTTCCTCGCTGTCATTTCTCTTCCTTCTCGCTTTTCTCTCCTCCTTCTCGTCTTTCCCTCTTTCGCTTCCCGACTTTATCTTTATGCTCCACCGCCCTTTTCCTTTGTCCTTCTTATCTTGCTGCTTCCCTTTCTGCCTTTCTCTGCTATCATGCTTCATCCTTGGGCTAAATGTGGAAAGGGGGAGGAGGCAAAGGGGCATTTGGGAGCTTCCACTGTAGCTTATATCACAGCAAAAAGGGGGAGAGGGGGTGATGTATTAAGGGTAAGGGTCAGGAGGACTGAGACAGGGGTGCTTGCTGTTGCTGATGTAATGAGGATCAGGAGCAGTTGGCAGGGCAACTGGTTGCCCCCTCCCCTCATCCTAAAAAAAAAAAAAAAAAAAAAAAACCCATCCCAAAATCTCTGTCCTGTCTCCTCCCATCTCGTCCGAGCCCTCAGTACACCACCTCGTACACCGTGGCCTTCTTGTCCCCGGAGCCCGTCACTATGTACTTGTCGTCTGGGGAAACATCACAGCTCAGCACTGACGAGGACTCCTTGGACTGGGAGCGGGTGAGAGACGCAGACACAAACCCGGGAGGGAGACAGAGAGCGAGATATGTGATGATAGATGGATGGAGACAGATGGAGAGAAACAAACACAAAGAGAAAGATGTTAGAAAAGATATGACTCATCACTTAATACTCAATCATACAAGACATATTTGCATTTCAAAACAGTCGGCAATTATTTCCAAACAGACAACTCCACAGCTCCAGGATGCTGACTCATTCGTCTGCTTCAATGTGAGACATGCTGCTCTGTTTCTCTGGAGAGATGCAGCCTCATTAACTGCAGGTTTAAGCGTCACCGGCAGCACAAATCTGATGGTCTGCATGAACTGGCAAAATGCACAATCCACTCTCCCCCGTCTCCCCTTCTTCTGTCCTCTGTGTCTGAAAGCCAGACCTGGGCACCTGGCTTTAGATGATCTAAAGCTCCCACTGCTCCCCCTCCTCCTCTCCCTCCCACTGCTCCATCATCATTTATCTTCCTTCCTTTCTTCCCAGACTCTCCTCCTCTTCCCCCTCCATCCTCTTAGGCGCCCCTTTCGCTCTGTCTCCCCCACTCTCAAGTCGACCCCCTCCTCCTCCTCCTCCTCCTCCTCCTCCTCCTCCTCCTCCTCCTCCTCCACTCCCTCCCTGCTACAAGCGCAGCAGGGCTGTCAATCATCAAGCCACCGGTGAGAGGCCATTTCACACAGGAATCCTCGTACTATACCGAGATAGGGTGGAGGCGGGAGATGCACTGACAAGCCAAAAGATGAGTGTGGAAGGGGTCAGAACCGGAGATCGAGTGGGAATGAAACATAAAAAAACAAACAACAAGCAAAACAAAACAAAGGAAAACAGAAGAAAACTCGTACTGATACACAGAGACTTCAGAGACATCCTCTAGCACCTGGGTTTTCAACAGGGGGTCCTCAAAGTTACTGCAGGGGGGCCCCCAAATTATTGACTGATCATTATTTGAAAGTGTTTTTTCTCAAAAATTTTAATGAATGTCTGAAAATATACAAACATTAACATAAATCCAACATATCATTAGATAAATCTATTATTTGTGATATGAATACATAAATAAATAATATTGTACATGTTATTGTAGGTCCAGTTTAATATGTAACATCATTGTATACAATATATGGGGGGGGTCACTGCTCTGTCTCCCTATCAGCTACAGGGAGCCTTGGCCTGAAAAATGCCCCTGCTCTAGCATTACAATGCTTATCATGTGGTCAATTGTTTATTGCCGAGTTCTTTGGTAGTTATTGCCTGTGTCTGTCTTCATAAAGGTTGGTGAACTGTGGGAAAACAATAGAAAGTCCACTTCATTGTTCCTTCCCTGACAAAGTCATATAAGTTGTATTTTTATAAATACATTAGTTTTCATTGAACAAGAAAACATCAAATCTCACCTGACCAAATTATAAGCAACCAAAAAGAGCTCAGACACCTTAGTGAGCAGAGATCAGTCACTTGAGCCTTAAATGTTAAATGCACCTATACAATTACACCTTATCTGACCACTGCAGTCAACAAAAAGCTAAGGAAAACCTTGTTTAGGTACCGGGCTGGTTCTCACTGTGATCTACAAACTGTGCTTCTCTTCCTCATCAAATACAGTAAATATACTGACATAAGACAACAATAGTTACACATTTTGATAATCAAACAATCAAAAAGCTCTTTCAGCTTTGTGTGTATCTGCATACTACAACCAAAGATAAATCTTCTTTGCCCTGCTTTGTTCTGTTTTCTGTCAATCTACAGCCAGTATGTCTGTAGGATTTTAATATTCAGTAAGACTATATGATTATTTTCATTATTGGGCATTTGCACATTATTTCTTTTTGATTAACTGATTCATCAAAAGCCCAACAGATATCATCAGATTGTTATTTTTTGTGTAACAAACACTCCCATGCTCACACAAGATTCTCTGTTTATCACATGAGGCAGAAACTAATACTGAAGAAGAAGAAGATTTGGCACTTTTTCTTGAACAATGACGAGTGATTGACTGAGTGATTGATTGATTGATTGATTGATTGATTGATTGATTGATAAATTGATTATCAAAATAGTTGCAGCTGTTCTTTTTTAATCAATCAGCTAAATAATTAAGCGTCAAAATGCTGAGGTAACTTGTAGATAGCCAAAAGAGAAAGTTCACCTGAACTTTGGGAGAGAAATAACCAACAATCCAACCTCAACTGTTATTTGGCTCTATGACGCTCAGGCGATAGAAGCCGACAGGAAAAACCCTCATGATGTGAACACAACCTGACCACCAGGACAAACTTGGCTACCAAGAGAAGAATAAGTCTGTGTTCCCACTGTACACACACAGCAAGCTTGGACATTCTTACACAAAGCCAGTATCATATGTATGAGCAGAACCATAACAGAAAACACACACTGTTCTCCTGTGTTCGCTGAATCTATCTGTAGTATTCATACATTTGTCTAATTTTGATTACTTATTTATCTGTTGTTTTTATTTATATTGTATTGTATTCAGTAATATGTGATTAGGCTTTAGCAATAACAATAACAACATCAATATCCATGCCAATTATTTGATCAGCCAAAGGGTCGGAGAGAATGTGATCATCAGAGGAAAAAAAGAAAAAAGGATTAAAAAATATATGGAAAGGAAGATAGAGAGGGGAGGTATAAACCAGAAGACAAGGACAGAGAAAAAAGTGAGGGTAGAGGTACAGATAGATCAGGAGAGTAAGATAAAAATGAGTAAGCACACAGAGGAAGAAAGGACAACAATAAACAGAGAGACAAGGAGAGAGAAGGGGGGAGGGTTAAAGAGAAGCAAGGAGACAGAAACTGGAGAGGACAGTGATAAACCAGAGAGGAGGAAGAGGAGAGAGAGAGAGAGCAGCTCTGTATAACACAGTGACAGGAGGGAGCTGTTTGGCAGGAGAAACGTTTGGCATTTGGATAACAAAGCAGATAGCCAGCATTCTCCTTTCAGTCCACAGGGAGAGACAGGAGCCGCCAACCCTGCTGCCCACTGTAGCTTACAGAAATATGACAGACACACACACATGCACACACACAAAACACTCACCTTAAATGTACCTTCTTCTCCCCTTGCTAGTTTCATTCACACCCAGATGAACTGGCTCAGTTAAAATACTGCACCCCTGCATATTCATGTTTCAACATTTCCTCAAATGGAGCGATTGAACACGATGGAGTTATTACATTTGTTCTGTGTTGTGTGTGTGTGTGTGTGTGTGTGTGTGTGTGTGTGTGTGTGTGTCAGCCTGCACTCTATGATAAACCTCCGCAAGTCACCACAGATCAACAAACCTGAAATTTAAAAAAATGTTTATCGTTCGCTTTCTCCCCTCTGAACCCCCTCATCTTTTTTCTCTTTTGCCTCTAGGGCTCAGTGTGTGTGTGTGTGTCTGTGTGTGTGTGTGTGTGTGAGTGGTACACGGACAGGAAGCAGAGATAGCTTCAACTATCCACAGTGACTAACAGATGACTCTGCAGCCCATAGTATGTACATATACACACGCACAAATACCGTATATATATATATATATGTACAGTATATGCTCAAATATGTAAATACACAGAGCATAAAAAGTGATGCACTTGTTTCTTACCTGGAAAATACTAGCTCCATACGGGGTCCTCCATGCATTCAACAGATTGTCTTTTCCTGTGCTCACGAACCACTTGCCTGAAATAACACACACACACACACACACACACACACACACACACACACACACACACACACACACACACACACACACACACACACACACACACACACACACACACACACACACACACACATTACTACAGGTTAAACAAAAGAAAAGGGGTCATGAAGGAACAATATCCTGTGCATTAACTGCATATTTATAGCGTGGAGAGTAATGGTATTCACAAATATTCTACAAACATTTAGGAACCAATCTGAGTTACACTCTCCCTGTGTGTGTGTGTGTGTGTGTGTGTGTGTGTGTGTGAACGTACCGCAGTAGGCGAACTTGAGAGAAAGAACGCAGCTCTCATGGAGGTGCAGCTGGTACTTGTCAGGTTTGGAGACGTGCAGGACTTCCACGTTACTGCTCTCCATTCCCACAGCCAGCCACTCGCCTGTCGGACAGTAGCCCAGAGAGAAGATCTGGAGACAGAGAGAGAGAAGAAAGCAATTCAAAGGAAGGAGAGAAATTGAAATGGAGAGAGAAAAACACAGAGGGAGAGAAGGAGGGGAGGACAGAAGACAAATGGGCAGGAAGCAAGGGTGCAGAAATGAAAACAAAAATGGGGAATGGGGAGAAGATGTGAGGAAATGGGGGAGGAAAGATGATAAGGTTGATGAAAGAAAGAGAACAATGGAAGGAAGTAGGGAGGACAGATGAAGGAATTAAGTAGTAATGAAGGATATCAAGAGAAAGAGAAGATGATGAATGAGAAAAAAGAGAGTGGAATGATGTTATAGAGGTAAACATAGTATGAATTAATAAATTAGGAAGGAAATCGAGAGGATAGCAAGAGAGTGAGAGGGAAAGTGGTAGATGCAGAGAGACGGCAAACGAGAGTGAAAGTCATTACACGGTGGATCGAAACTCATCTGACAACAGTGGTCAACTCTATAGCTCTGCTGTGACAGTGAAGAGTAAATGAGAGAGTGTGTGTGTGTGTGTGAGGGGACCTGTACGGTGAAATCACGTTGGTGTTTGTTGATGTGTTAACTTGTGAGGTGAACTCTGTGTACCGTAGATGATGTGTTGTGATGACCCCGTAATGTAACTTGCAGTGTGTGAAGTATGTGTGTGTGTATGTATATCTGAGAGTGTGTGTGTGTCTGTTTACCTGCGAGGTGAAGTCATGTTGCTGGAGCTGGCGTCCCTCTCTGAGGTCCCAGCAGCGGACCGTGTTGTCCAGCCCTCCCGTCCACAGTTTGGTGCCGTCATTGGAGATGTCGATGCAGCTCGCTCCGTCTGTGTGGCCCTGGAACTGCCTGCAGGGAAGAAACATACGAAACAATCTACAGACTCTGCATCCTGTCTGTTTTTCTCCTGGAGGTGTCAGAGCAAATATATCTTAATGCTTCTCTCCCTGTAGCACCTACTGTCCTCACCCCACCCACACCTGATTCTCCTTTCTCTCCTGTTCCCCCCCATTCTCCTTTCCTTACCACAATCTTCCCTCCCCATCTCCCTTAATCCCTCTTTCTCCTGCCTTGCCAGAATCTGGCTGTTTCATCCCACCCATATCCCCTATGGCTTGCTCATCCTCCCCTCTCCTTACCTAACCATAGGGTTAGTTAAGGAGACCCAAGACTGCAATTATTTTTTTCCCCCTCCTTGTTTCTTCTTCCATATTTTATCTCCTTTTCTTTTTTTCCTCTTCTCTCCTCAAGAAGTTCCTGAAATGTTTCCACATCCTCTAGCCTTTCTCATCCTTACCTTCCTCCCTTTCCCCTCTGTGTTCTCTCCTGACAACAATCTATTTGTGGGGATTTTTTATGTGCTTTTTCTCCTTCCACTGTCCTATCCTCCTGTTTCTCCTCTTACCTGACCAGTGTCTGGTTGTGAAGGTCCCAGACGACGATGTTGCCGTCGCTGCAGCAGGAGAAGCAGACCTTGTTGTCAGGGGAGATGGCCAGGGCGTAGCAGGCAGGGGCGGATGACGTCAGCTCCGCCTTGATGCGAGGAGTAGGCGTGGCCAAATCCCAGATCGACAGTGTGCTGGCCTCCCCACCGACAATCAAGGTTCGCCCGTCGGGAAGGATTTTACAGGAGCGGATGTAGTTATCCCTGTTCTGATTGGACAAGATAAAAAAAAGTTAGCGTGTCCCTGTTGTAGATCAAGGGAGAAAAAAAGTGTTGGAACAGATGGTAACATGATTGGGGACATCCAGGAAATGAATGTGGACATTTTGATGCCAGTTATCAAAACTGAGGAGGAAAGAAGACACAGGCCATAAAAACAAATCAGCTCAGTGAATATACTGCACATTCACACGTTGGTTTACATGCTCTGATGCGTCAATGCTCGCCTGTGTACCCAATTCTTTTTTTAACACTTGCATGTGTACATGTTTGACGTCTTCTCTCATGTCTCACCAGACAGTCCAGCTGGGCCATGGGACTCTTGCTTCCTGGCTGGCTGATGTCCCACACTTTGACGCAGCCCTTGCCTCCGGTGTAGACGTGGCGCGTCGAGGTGCTGATGGTGACGGCGCACACCACCTCTCCGTGGTTCAAACTGTGAATCTGACGGGCGTGGCGAGGGATTCCCGGGCCCAGCAGGGCGTCTGGGGGAAAGGGCACCGGCTGCATCTGGCCGTCTGCGCTCACGTGGAATGAGTAGGCGCTGGAGAGAAGATATAAGGAAGGGAAGAGAAATAATTCAATATTTCAGAACTGAGCAGCTATAGCTAAAAATAAACAGCTTGGACTTGTAGATACTGCAAACTGAAGGACTGGGAAAATGGGCCAGAGACAGGACAGAAAAGACAGAATCAATCAATCAATGAGCAAGTGAAAGTAGAGGAGCTACAGGTAAATATACATAATGCAACAAACACACACAAGTGGGGGGGGCAAGTTGTGAAATCTGACGACACCATAATGGTCTTGGAACTACAGTAATATTTGCCTGAATTCTGGCAATTACTTGGCCCACTGTAGCTGTGGGCGGGAATGCATAATGGCAGATTGTGTTACAGAGCAGAGTCAGTGTGGCATTGCTAATGGTCGATCAATACTGTAGCGGTTGGAAGCCCAGGCCGTTTTATGATTTCAAATTAGCACCGCAAGAATGAATTGCTGCTCTGCAACAATTGACAAAAACAACACAAATCTTCAGACAGCAAAGCCGAATGGACAGTGTGCGAGTGTGTTGGAGCATGTGATCTGGACACTTGAAATTCTACAGTATCTTCAGTATTCAGGGATTCCAGGGGTTAGACAGGGTTAATGTGCAGCACTGAAAAGCCCTGAGTATATAGAGAAACTCAAAGTGTGCAGCTAGGAGGAACTACTACTCATTTGGATTCCTTTCCAATCCAAATATTTTTGGATTATCACAGAGCAAGCTTTGATTTAAGTATGTGCAATCGTCTGTATCTAAGTATTTTCTTAGCCTGACATGATTATCCTGCTAAGCTTTCACATATTTCTTTTTTTAAATCGCTAATAAAAGAATAGAAAATTAACTGTTTAACTGCCCTGTATAATTCGGGAATATACTTTGAGTGTCCTCTATGTGCACACTAATGATAGTAAAAGACTTTTAGGTCTACTAAAATTTTCACTCTAAAATTCCATATTGAGAGTGCGACTTTTACAAACTAACAAATGTATTGAGATTTTATCCCATCTGTCTATGTGTTTGTGTGTTACAGAAATACAAACTCACGGCTTGCCACCAGAGGAACCAGGCAGAGAGGAGGACAGCCCTGGGGCCCTCAGGTGAGACCGAGAGTCATACGCCACCTGATGCGGACAAAAGAGCAGATAAACCATTACCATCTTGACAAAGACTGAAGTTAACGGAGCTGATTTCCACATAACAAACAAGGTACAATTTAATGTGATAACTACAACGATAGAAAATAATTCCAAAACAATTGGAGTGAGCAATGTAACAAAAGTACTCTGACAGAGTGTGCTGACAGAGTGTGCTGACACTAATATGTGATGTTGTGAGCATCCTGCCTTTCCCCAGACTGATGACAGGGTGAACAACAGGGCACTGCAGTGAACATCCCGCCTTAAGGTTGAGTTATGTTGAAGTCTTGTGGGAGAGTCTACGTGCAAAGGCTACATACTATAACTACAATGCACAACAGTCCCACAGCAGCTGACTTGCAAATCAACAATAACAATTATGCATTGAAGCAACATGGGCTACAGAGAGGGCTACTTTGTGTTTATGTTTCTGATGCTAGACATATAACTGAGTTTATAATGAACGAACAACACTACCTGGTAACGCAGAACACATTCATCTATTTTTTAACAGTGTTATGACAGTCAGAGGGTTAGATCTGATGCTGAACTATAAATCAAACCTTGACAGAGAAGAATAATTTGGCCTTTACTCACCATGGGGCTTCGGGAGTAGGCGTTGGCCGCTGCGCTGATTTGCGGGGAGAGAGTTAGAGCCCCACCGAAACCTCCTGGGCTGGCCAGCTCTCCATTCAGCCCTGCGTGGGACACCACGCCAAAATGAGCCGGGTATGAACCAGGGGGCACAGACATGGGACTGCGGAGAGCTGGGGAGGGAGGGAAAAGAGGAAGGAGGGATTGAAGGATGGACATAAAGAGGGAAACAATATGTAGCACACAGGCACAAACACAGTCACAGAGGGGATGAGAAGAATGGATATCTTTTTCTTTTATTAAACTTTATTAGTTTATACACCAACTAAGTTTCAGACAGGGAGCTGTCAAGTACAACAATAGTCTTCACTACTGGCCACAAAGGAGCGGATAACAGTTAGGAGGCCTTGTTTTAAATGGTATAACAGAGTCGGGGGATCTCACTCCTTTCTTTTGGTTGTGAATATTCAAAATAAGTTTGTATAACTTTGCTCTGATCAAATCAAGAGATTTTGGCACAAAACAGTAAATTACAAGGCAACAGTAATGTCACTGCATAAACAAATGAGGAAATGGAAAAACGGAGGGACAAGAGGATATATGGCATGAAGGGCAGGTAGACTGGGTGCAAATCCCATTCAGGTCATGACAGTTTAATTCCTGGTGCTATTTTGTAGAGGTAGTTCGGTTTATTTAAAAAAATATATTATCTCTAGTCGAGCAGCTAAACTAGAAAGTAAATGTTTCTCTAGTAAGTGATGAGGTATGTAATATATTATGTATATTATATTTATATTTATGTTAACTGTAAATATATGTAACAGTTACCAATTTTTCAGTTTAAAATGTTCATAAAGCTGTTACAGTCGGGAGATCCTCACCAAGGGGGTCTGCACTGGATGCTGCTTTGCTGACCAGACGAAGGCAGGAGGTGCTGGGACCGGGGGCTCCTGGGGCTCCGGGGGTAAGGGCCTCACGGTGGGACGGGGATGGGGTGCCAGACTTGGACAAAGGAGACTGGGACTTATCCAACTGTAGAGAAGTCAAACAAGAAAAATAATAAATAAAACCAATGGCTGATCTATCATAGGACATGTAACACTTATCACACAAGGGCTCTTTTATTCTACAAATCTCCAGAATGACTAGGTCACTTTATGACCAATCTCAACGAAAAGAGAAGGATTTGTCTCCGTGGTACTGGCGCAGCTATTTTGACAGCTACAGCTATCTGTGCTAGACATCCATGTAGCTTCTCAGTGTACTTTAATAGGACAATGATTAGTTACTGTACAATAGTTTTGGGTTGTACGAGTTTTAAGTGCTTTTATTCCCAAAGCAAAACATCATAAATGATGTCAGGAATGGCCACCCTAGGCATACAAAGTGAATAAGAATACCATTTTATTACCCAAAAAAAAGGCTGAAAATCTTTCGTGTCATTAAACATATTGAAAATTACAGCAATATATTAGCATAAAAGAAAAGCACAACCCTCCCAGTCAGCAGAGTGCAGCAACTTTCTAAGAATCTATCCATCATACCTGTGCAGGGTCCTTGGCTTTCCCTGGGGTGGGGCTGCGGGGGTTTGGGGTGGAGGGGGCCTCTCCTGTGCTTGAGGAGCCCGGGAGCTCTTTCCGTAGAGTAGGAGCCCGGTCTAACCCGTTCCCGTGGGGAGAGTGAGGAGGGCTGCCCGCAGGAGAGTTAGGCTCCTGAATGACAAAAAGAGACGAAAAACTTATCACACAATGTTTCAACTATTTTGCTGTTCAGTCTTGTTGCCATTTTACAGCATTTCATCACAATGACATCTTCTCTTTAAAGAAGGGATTCTTGTCCTTAAAGTAGAATTATTCTCATCTTTTTTTAGTGACACCAAACTTCTTTGTCACGTATAGGAAGTGCACCAGGGGTTCCCCGACAGCTCACCGGGTAGAGTGCCTATCTTGTGTCAAGGCATTGTTGACCGGGCTTTGCTGCATGTCTTCCCTTTCTCTGTCTCTACTATCACTGTCAACATATTTTTGTTTTTTTTCCAAGTAAAACCTGCTACCTCGCAATTGATGCGACGAAAGATGAAATGATTGTCACCACGATAACTTTTCCGTGGTAAAATCCTTCCAGGTAATGCAGTAAACAACTGTGCAGTGTTTTTCGTGACTGATAGACCTTCAAAGTTACCGTTCTATTTCTCCAACTGGAATTCCTGCGTCGTATTTCACTGTCTCAGCCGTACCTGAAGCAACATGTACCTACAAACGCAGCTACTTGCTTTTTTTTTATGCAGGGCTGTTTCATTCTGAAAACCAAACTTATTGCCTTTTTCTTTCTTTGAATATTTTTGTTGTATGTTTAGCAACCGTGTGTAGATTGCTGTTCCTAATACTTACCCTGTTCTTTTTTTACATAGTCTTTCACCTTGTATTTAAGCCAAAAAAAAATGCTGTTTCTCTTGCAATACACAAACACATTTCTTCTGTGTGCCAGCAGTTGGTTATAGAGTTTCAAAATACACTTTAAGTAAAATGCTGCTGAGTCTCACTTAATGGATACAACATAACCTCTAGTGTCACAGTCTGTATTATGATTTGTAAAAGAGCTCAGGGCTCAGGGAACATTACATGAAACAGTAGAGATTGTCACTGTTGCTGGTACAGTAGTGTGTGGACCTGGAGATAATGTTGCTGTTACAGCTGCTTTCATCACTGGAGCCACCGTTGAGCCAGCACTGCCTCCCCCAGAACAGAGTGCTGGAGTAAGCACTTCTCACTGGGTCACAGTGATCAGCACAGACATTTTAGTGCTTATACATACACATACACATACACACACACACACACACACACACACACACACACACACACACACACAGACACACACACACACAATCATCTACTCAAACAACAACGCACACAGACCAGACCTTTACATGACATGTACACACTCATGGGTAAATATATATGCACACATTCAAACATGCTTGCATGTATGTTCAAACACATGCATGTACATTCGCTCTAAAAAAACACACACACACACACACACACACACACACACACACACACACACACACACACACACAGACACACAGACACACAGACACACACACACAGACACACCAGAGAATTTCCCTCCCTTTTTCTGCCATTACCCACATTTGTCATATTTTTTTTCTGTCTTGCTTTTGTACCAGTTTCCAAATCACACAAGAGACCGGTTCCGCTTTTGTGTGCAATATCAAAATACAGAGAGCTTAGATAAAACATATTTTGGTACACTGCGTGAAGTATTTAAAGACCTAAAATATTCCAGGGGCATAAACGGCTTTGCATATATTAAATGAACCAGACTGCAGTTATCTAATGAGAGAAGGGAGGAGAAAAAGGGAGGAGGTGGAGCGGGGTGAGAGGAGTGGGAAAGAAGGAGTGAATTGAAAAGACAGTGGAGAGATGGAAGAACGGAGGCTTCAAGAGGCTGGAAAGAGAACAAAAATACACACAGAAGAGGTAGATGAGAAGAGATAGGCAAGTATTGTAGTGTGTGTGTGTGTGTGTGTGTGTGTGTGTGTGTGTGTGTGTGTGTGTGTGTGGACAGACACAGTTCACAACACAAACAGCAGCAGCTGATAATGAGCTTACATAGGAGCTCTTCCTATTTACAAGGAAACTGCAGCGGAAAACTGAACTAGCAACATACCTGCTGACTCGTTTCACAATTCACAGATCCACACACACACACACACACACACACACACACACACACACACACACACACACACACACACACACACAGTGTGAGAGAGAAAGTGCAAAACTGAAACAATCACTTGATTTGTTGATCATCAGAAAATTAGGCTAATCCACAGGTATTTTGATAATTGAGTTGCTCAAGTTGTTTTTCAAACAAAATGTCAAAAAGTCACTAGTTCCAGCTTCTCAAATGTATTTGTCAATGACGATATGAAAATAAATTTGGGCTTTTATTGCCTTGTTGTTTTTTAACTGTTTCCTGACATTTTATAGACCAAATGATTAATCTATCAATCTGAAAAATAACTGGTAGATTATTCAGTTATGTTAATAGTTTTAGCCCTGTTGGAAGTTAACATTTGTGTGAGTGTATTAACTAGAATAATAACCATTGTCTAAAAACAAAAATAAAACAAATAATCAACTATGATTTTAAGTCTTAAATACAGATTATGCTTGGCCGCACATCCACATAAATAATAAGTTGGGACATGTTGTCCTTATCAGACTGTCAAAAAAACCTCATATTTTGCCTCAAACTTAATGAAACAAAAATAAAACTGACCATGTCTAAAAAACTAATCAAAAAACAGCAAATCTGTTCCAAAAATATCAAGGACACTAAAACTAAAAGAGGGTCAGGTAAAATCAAAATCTAAATAAAATGTATTAAAAACTGACCTCACACACACTCACAATCTCTCTCTCTCACACACACACACACACAGGCGCACACGCACACACACACAGGCGCACACACACACACAGGCGCACACACACACACACACACACACACACACACACACACACACACACACACACACACACACACACACACACACACACACACACACACACACAGATCTGCGTGTTAAATTGAACTACTGACAGCCAGACAAACAGGGTTATGCAGAGGACGGAGGGTGTTTCCAAGCTGTGGCAAGAACATCTACAGTTAGTCCCAGGAGTAACACTACTGGTCCTCCCAACGTTGGATTCATGCTTTATTCATGTGTGGGCTGCAACACAGTGTCAGAGAGCTTCTGTAGGATAAAGGTGGCTTGTAACTTGTGGCTTTGTAAGGAAATCAAAGATATTTTCTGAAAATCTAACATCTCTTGCACAAGGGCGTAGCTGTGAGGAGGTGTGTGGGAAGGGGAGAGAGTGAAGTGTGAGTCCTGTGAGTGAGTTAAATATTTTCCATAGTGGAGATGGAAAATTGTGAGTAAACATTAGTAGTGAAGGTGGAATATTCATTTGAAGAGGTGAGAGGAAGAAAACTGTTTACTATTTTGTGATGGGTACATTTATTTCTGTGAGATGTATGAAGTTTATGGCTCATTAATAAACTTAATGAACAGGAAGTAACCCATATGTCTCTAGGGGGTCACTTTCTCTATTGCTCCACTGTGTTGACTGATAGTGGGCAACCACAAATCAGACTGGACTTTTACTAATAAGAAGCTGCTATTGTTTTTTTATTTTGTGTCATGTAGATTCAAAGATTTTAAATAATCATTTGCTTAAAGTATTTCAGGTGAACAACAACAAATGCATGTTTGAACATAATTTTCCACCAGCTTCAGTTTCTAAGGAATTGAGGAAAACTAGAAGTTAAAACATTTCATCTTTGAGGCAAATTTATCTCCTATACAGAACCGCCAGGCATGGCCACAGATTATTTCATATAAATTACCTTTAAAGACCATCCAAGATGTTATTTAAGTACAAATAAATAAATACATAAAAATAAATACAAATCAACAGGGTATGCTAAAGTGTTAGCAAGTGCTAACATACACACAAAGGAACTAGAGCTTTCATTTTACTTTAAACCTGCAATTAAGAGTTTTTGGTCTTTTGTTAACAGAAGACTGACATTATCAGCTCTTAAGTTCATATGTTTTTTGTTTTTTTTAGCAAACAGTTGCTCATTTACACTAGCATTCATTTGGAGCTGTGTTTCTGGGAACGTTGCAAACTCTAGTCCAATAGTTACTCTCCTTTTAGCTCTGTTTTTGGTCTCCTCTAACTCCTGATGGAAATATCTGGCTCTTTACAATTAAATGCTACACTGTGTTAACCGGCTGGTTGCTAACTTTGTCTGTCTGAACAGGTAAAGTACAGTGACACTACAGAAAATAACAAACAAGGAGCTGAAAGTTGAAGTTTAATTATTAGGATGTCTAAAATCATTTAAATACAGATTGGCCACTTACCTCATTAGAGACGTCCACTACGAGATTGTCTTCACTCTTGTCTCCATCGCTGTCCTGTGGAGCAAAGATAAGATAGCAGTTTTATTAGCTGTTTTTCTCTCCATCAACCACGCAGACGTACACTGTACTGTATGTGTATATAGAGAACTTTAATAATAAAGTGGAAGGTCCACACAGATCGATATATCAATATCACTGGCTGCTCTTTGCTTCCTTCCACTGGCTGTCCACCATGCAACATTTAACACAGAGATACTATATACCATATATTCTCACAGAACATCTCCCTCATACAAACACTATTTCGATCTCTCTCTTATTCATTTACACACACACACACACACACACACACACACAAACACACAAACACACAAACACACACACACACACACACACACACACACACACACACACACACACACACACACACACACACACACTGTTGCTCTTTCTCCATCCATGACACATTTTCGCTCTTCCTCTAGCCATCTCTCTGTTTTTCTCTCTCTCCCTTTCTGGGGTGAGAAAGATGGCACTTAGTCACCATGGCAACAGTGCTTTGATGTGATCATGGCCTGATATTCCTATTGACATCAGTGTGGAGTGACATCAGTACCTAATTATACAGAGCCAAAACATGGCTATGTCTACAGTCTATTCCTAGAACAAAAATACAGAAACAGACAGTGAGAGAGAGAGAGAGAGAGAGAGAGAGAGAGAGAGAGAGAGAGAGAGAGAGAGAATGAGGGATGCAAAGAGGAAAACATAAAAGGAGGAAGAGGGAGAAAATTTGAAATAAGATGGAATAAAAATTAAAAGAAAACAGGAAGAAGACAGCGTGAGAGGAAAAAGTAGAGAAACTGAGAGACGGTGATAAAGAGACAGAGAGAGTTATAGAAGAGCAAAAGGCAAACAGAGAGAAATGGGAGCTGTAATGTGGCTCGACAGACAGAAAGAGAGGAAAAACATTCAGAAAGTGGAAACTATCCGTGCTTGTTCTCGCTCTGAACTAATGGGAAGATTTGGACTGTTGTTGTTGATGCCAAACTGATTTAGCTGCAGGCCATCTTGCACAGACAGACTCCCAGTGTCAATCAATCCTCCAGACTGCAAACACACAGCCATCTAATTCATTACAGCTATCTGCCTTGGCCGTCTCTCTTCTGGCATTACATCGCCTGTGGCTCCCGGCTCTTCCCCATTGGACCCATCCAAACCAAACATGACTCTAATTGGCCACGGGCCCCCGACCCCTGTGTGGCCTCTAATGTCATGTACACACACACACGCGCACACACACACACACACAAGTACTTTGTGACGTATTTGGTGTGCTTTGCTATTAGGTTGCTTTTGATGTGAATGTACATATGTCATTTTTACAATCAATCTTAATAATCTGATGCATGTTTATATAGTTATTGTTCATTTACGTGAACATTTTTGTTTATTTTTGTTGTTGTATCCTTGGGCTGCTGCAATACTCCTCCCAGGCATCATATAAAGCTCAGCTTAACTCATCATACAAGGACAAGCACACACACAAACACGTACATAGGAGTGCGGTGCAAGGGGTTCTTTGTCGTCACAGCGCCTCCTCTTTGCCTCAGCTCCTCCCTGTGAGGAGGAGTAGCCTCCTGACGGGCCCTGGCGCTCCTCCGTGGGCTGACTGTCTGTTGATGACACTGACTTACTCTGGAGAAAGACAAGGACACAAATAAAGGTATGAACACACAAACATACTAATACTGTAGTAAAGACAGGTGATGAAAGCTTGGGTGAAAAGTAACAGATTAAACACATGTTTTAACAAACCCATAAAACACACCCATAGCCACCAATGGTACAGGACATGGTGTGAAGAAAGGTGCACACACAGTCACTCTGTAGATATGAGCTTGGGTAAAGGCAAGTAAAAGCACACTGGCCAGTAACACAAACATTAACAGAAAGCCCCATAAAACCACACATGAGAACATTTCACACACACACACACACACACACACACACACACACACACACACACACACACACACACACACACACACACACACACACACACACACACACACACACACACACACACACACACACACACACACACACAGCAAGAACAGCAGACGTAAGCACAGGTTAAGAGGTACCCATAGAAGCACACAAGACAGCCTATACAGCTAATTAGTGCTCTCCCCTCGACACACCAGTCCTCATGTAAAATATGACTCTCATTATTGAGCAATAAAGCTGTGCCGGCATATTTACAATACAGCCTAGCCTGGTGCTCAACACTCAGAAAAGCCGATCAAAGCATTGTGTTGGGTTTTTTTTCGGGAGGGGTAGGGGCCAGAGGTTCGGTGAGGGCCACTTGTCATTCTCTGTCCCCCCCTGTGGGGAGGACAAGAACAGCGATGGTTTAACACACCAATGAGTCACACAGGAAGGAGCCCACGGGGCCGACAGGAAGGAGCACTGGACAGAGGAGAGGAGAAAACCACACAATGGACCTCAGTGTGGCTCAACAAACTTCCCTCTCTTCTTTCTTCTTTTTCTTCTACTCCTCCTCCTCCTCCTCCTTTTTCCCTCTTCTCCTGACTTCCTCTCGCTGTCCCTTTTTTCCCCTCCGTTTAAAATTCCAACATGTTTTACTAGTGCGGGGCTTTCTGACAAATGCCAATTGATATGCATCTCCCCCTCCCCTCCCCTCCCTTCCCTTCCCAAACGCCGAAATGCTTGGCTAAGTTCAGCACAAACCTCAACTCATAGGAGAAATATTTTCCTGGTGCTTAACAATCAGCATTGTGTTTAGCAATTAAATTATGCTAAGGGTTTCATTGCGGATAGAGAGAGAGGAGGGAGGGAAAGTTAAGTCAGTAGCACTCTTAAATCATTTTCATTTCACAATAAAAACCAGAACAAAGACTTGCTGGTATTTTTTTAACAACCTTTCCCTCCCTATTTTTCTTGGGTTTTTTTTCTTCCTCTTTAGTCTCTCTCTCTCTCTCTTTTCCCTTTTCACTCTCTATCTCCCTCTAACCCCCCCCCTTCACTGTCTCTCTCTCTCTGTTATCAACAGTTACACTGATGAAGGCCAGCTGTCCATTACAGCCAGTACAGTAAGGGAGTGTTCACACAGCTTCCATAAAGCAGCCAGAGAATAGGACAAACCATAGACGTCCAATGAATTTCAATCAGCCCATTTGCACTGCATTAATTCTCCAGGCGATTAACGTGGACTTTTAACTACAGTGGCATAAAATATGCGCAAAACCTGCAAGGCAAGATGAATGCTTGTATACATTTCATGTTTCATTGCATGTTGCATTAACTCAATTTTTCTAAGGATGTATTTTCTTTGCTTTCTTTTTACCATTAATTATAGTAACCCCAGTCACCATCCTGTCACATCTCACTTTCACACTTAATTAAAGGGAGGTTGAATTTGAACTTCAAGCTGCCCGGTGTGTATTATTGAACAAGTCAATCATTAGTGTTTTTTTGCCTGTAATCTGAAAAGTCACATAAATGTGGTGACATAATGGTGAAAATATCACCATTGCTTCCCTGCCACCAATGCACAGAATCAGGTTTCATTAGAAAACCGTTTTGGATAGATATTGTACATAAGTCGTATAAGAGGTCAGGGTACTGTGCATGCTTTGACAGACCTGGACTGTTGAGATTGTTCTTCCATCATGTTCAACAACAACAACATTTTGGTTTTTCTGGTACAGTGGTTTCAGTCGTTAACAGAATATACACAAAGGACTCATTTAAATAGGTTGTGGTCCTCACCTCCTCTACAGTACTGGCAGTTGTGCAATTCTATACCAAATATTAACTAACGATACAACAGAGCAGGTTCTGTTGGGAAACATCTTTTCAAATGGATCTCAGTGGTGTGATAGTTACAAAATATATGAGGCCTCCTGTGGTTGACGTTTTATATACTGCATGTATAGTACGCTCAAGTAGACATTTTTTAAGCAAGAATTGCTCGTTTTAACAGAAACTAACTGGCATGTGTCAGGCAATATTTGCCTGGGTTTTTAATCCTTTCACTTGTTCTGTAATTCTTGCAGATTACCAGAGCATTTGTGGCGCTGATAAACAAGCAGTTGCTTGTTCATTCATTCACTCCATTTGTACTTTCTTCCAGATAACAGCGAAATGCTGTGAGCTCAGATGTTAGTGTGATGTAGAAAACCTTGAGAAGCTCAAGGTTGAAAGCGTTGAGCAGCTATTGTGCTGGTGTTGAGCTGTGCTGCTCCTGGCTGTGCTCCAGCAGTACACAGCCTTTTTAGAGGCCACTTTACAGTGCGTCTCCATTTCCCTCAGTTTATCACTGTCACACGCACGCACATACACACACACTGAACACACTACTCAACTACTCACCCTGCTGGGTGCTCCCTCTGGGATGGGGCGGAGAAAGGTAAGGAAAGAGAGCAGAGTAGAGAAAAAAAGAGAGAGTGAGAGAGAGAAGTAAAGGGGAAAAGAGAGAAAGTTTGACGTCAGTCCTGATAATAATAACAACAGTCCCCCAGTCAGCCAAGGTTAGGCTGAACTACGACGGTTCCTCTCTAATAAAGATACAGACCCGCTATTGTGCCTGATTCCAGCCTCCTCTCTATCTTTCCCTCTCTCTGTTCTCCAACCAGACAAAGCTTGCTGTCTTCCCCCGCTGCCTCTTTCAACGCTCACTATCTTTTCAGTCATTCTTCCTCTCGTATGTAAGAACAGAAACACACACAGCTGCAGACATGCATAAGCTCTCACACAGATGCTTAACACGCCAATATGAACACATTGATCTCTCTATCTCTCTCCCTTTCTACTATTGCTCATTTCTTCTTTTTTTCTCTCTTTCTAGCTCTCAGTTTATTCATGAGAAAGTCTCTCTTGGCTCCGTGCCTGAAACAGAGCGCAAAGATAAGATATTCTATCGGGGTGAATGAAAGTTCGTTGGGAGAAAGCATTTCTCCTGCGTTTACTCAAGTGCCTTGAATACGTCTGTCCATATTATGACAGCAATCTAAACAAGTAAGTTCAAATTCAGTCCAAAAGGTGACTTGCTGTACAAATTACGCAAAAGCTGCCTGCCACAAATGATGTATAGTGCTGCTTTGCATATTATCTGGTCTAAAATTATAAAATGATCTACTTCTTATTCTGTAGCGGTTGTCAGGGTTTCTCTCACTGCTGCTTTGTGCCCATCCTAGTATAAATATATATATATATATATATATATATATATATATATATATATATATATATATATATATATATATATATAAATATATAAACAAACATGAAAATAAACATACAAATAAACATACAAATGCTCACATGTACACGCAGAAATACAACTATTTTCTGAAGAAAAAAATAATTCTTGCATGCAGGATATGTGATGGTTTCATTCTAGATGAGTTCACAGACTCAGTTATTCTACCTCACTTGTACAGAACTTGCTGAACATCTTCTCAATATGTTCAATAGTGTAATTGACTTTCAATAATGAAACATTTTGTGTACACTGATCTGAAACTAAAGCAGGTACCCTGATGATATATTTCAGGGCTATAAGGGCAAAAGCTTCTGCATACAATAACTTTGGGTCTTTAAATTGCGGCTCCCTTGTCTACTACAGCAGGCTGCCACTGACTTTAAGTCGCACTATCTATCGTATTTTTAGAGGCACTGTTTTTATCAATGCATTATTTGTTGTCATAAATGGGCTAGAGTGAATTAATCTTACACCTTGTCGCTCCAGCTAAATTTGGCTCTTGAAGATCACTTTGCATTTAATCCAAAATTAAGGATGAAAAGTCTACGGTTCTTTACCTCTGAGATGTTCAGGGTCAAGGTGGTTGCGCTCATCTTTGGAGGCAAGGTGGGCCGAGACCCCCAGGGCCCCGGTCAGCGCAAGAAGCCCTGAGCCGCCCGCACCCAGGGACAGCCCTGATGGGTGTGGCGTCAGAGGGATGCCAGGGGCGTGGTGAGACAGGTGCTGGAGCTGCTGCTGCTGTGGCCACAGGGAAAGGAGGGAGCGGGGAGCGAGGGGGTGGAGAGGGATGGTGTCATACAAGGGGGTGGGTTATTAGAAAAAACAGGGAAAAGAAGAAATAGATAGAAAATAAGCAAGTGACACAGGACAAAGGGGAAGGAAGAAGGAAAAAGTTAGAGGAAATGGGGGTTGAGCTTGGAAAAAGGGAGTGGAGAGAGGTAGAGAAAGGAAGGAGGTTAAATGAAATCAAATCCACATGGACAGCTCAGCAGTGAGAGAGGAAAATACGATGAAGGAAGATAGGATATTAAAGAGATTAGTGGATTAAGAGGTGAGAAAGATGGACACCACGGACGGGAAAGAGGAAAAAGAAAGAAGGGGAGAAGGAAATTAAATGATCAGGATACACAGGGATAGTAAAGTAAGTGGAAATGGAAACCAAGAGGCGAAAGAAAGAAGACGAGACGGTGAAAAGAGCGAGAGCGATGAATGGGATTTATTATAAAGGGAAGGCACGAGGAGGAAGATGGAGAAAGAGGCCAAGGGAAAACACAGAGAGGGAAAAAGAGAGGGAAGAAAATGTTTGAGTCAGAGAGTAAATGATGGGGAGGAACAGAGGGAAATCAGGGTGGAAGAAGTGAAAAGTGAATTAGATGAGCAGGAGGGAGAAGATAGGTAGAGAGCGTAAATGAGCACAGGAAGAGGGAGGGAAAGTGTGCAGCCGAGAGAGCAAAAGATAAGACATAGCGAAGAAAAAAAAACAATAGGAGAGGAGAAATGAGGACAGGGCCATAAGAGGAAGAGAATGATAAAAGATTACAAAAGGAGAGATGATTCTGGAAGAAATCCAGAAGGAAAATGAACAGAAAGACAAAGAGAAAGCAGAAAAAGAGGATGATGTGGGACAGAGAGAGCGGAGAGCAAAGGAGCAGCTACTGATAAAGAAAGGCTACAGTATTATCCTGAAGGGAGCATTATGATGTGTTTTTGTGTGTTGTTTTACCAAGCCAGTGTGTTTCGACACACATACACTCACACCTTAGAGACATCAGTGTTTGTAGTGCTGTGAGGAACAAAGGGCTTTAAGTAGACAGTAATGTGATCAGTGATCAGACAAGCTTTGGAAAGCCCCGTATACAGGGGCACTCAGAGGCATCACCGTGTGTCTCTGTGGCATGTGTATACCATGTTGCTCTTGGTCAGGTGATCATACACTATTAAATGTGTGTGTAGGTGCATAAAAAGTTTTCAGTATAACTCTACAGTTACAGTCTGTATGTTAGCTTCAACTGAATTTAAATTTAAACTGACTGTTGACCAGAGAGCACCGATTAACACAGAAAGTGTTTGAAGCAGAAATCTTGAAACAGAGTGTAATTAATGCAGCATACACCATATTGTTGTGTGCTTTTTTTGGTTTTTCAGATTATTTGGGGGGATATAATTGCCTTTATTAGATAGTAGCTGCTGAATACTGACAGGAAGGTGGGGAGAGAGAGAGAGGATGACATGCAACCACAGGTTGGAATCGAACCCAAGCTGCTAGAGTAAGGACTCAGCCTTTGTAGCGCTACCACACCATACTATCATTGTATAGTAAGTACACAGTAATGTGATCAGTGCTCTGAGAAGAATTAATGACAATAGAATTGACTAATCTTAAAAATGTTTTAAGAAAAGAGCTCCCACATAAAGGACTATTTGGCATGTTGGTCTGGCTACTTCAAAACATTAATACATTTCCCTATACTAATAGCTACTCATTTAAACTACTAGCAGCTGGGCGCTTTATAAATGGCTACTCCCCAGCTATTTTGGAGGGAGCAGTGATTCATTACGTTTTGGTATATTCAGTTGCATCCTCCAAAAGAGGTTACGGCAACCAGTAAAATTGTCAAACAGGACACAACACTGTAGTTATTCATCGGATTTTATACAACAGAGACACGCCCCAAATTCTGTGGGTTCTGTTGATTAAAAAAGAATCCTTCAAAGGCCAGTTTCCATTTAGAAAAACAACAACTCTGAAATTGCCCATTAGCCACGCTAATTCATAGCATGCTATCAAAGCACTCGCTAGTAAAATAACACCTGCCTGACGGAGTAGCAAGATCAACATCGCCATCTGTGGGAACGAACAACAAACGTAAACACCTTGAGTGATGTTCGCGTCAATGCCTCACCTATTTGATGATCACATTTCTAATCTACATATCTATAGACCAATGATGAAAGAATTTAATCAGCTGACTCTCTTCGGTTCCAGTACATATGTGTAGGTGGGTGTGTGTGTGTGTGTGTGTGTGTGTGTGTGTGTGTGTGTGTGTGTTGTCATGACGAATGGAGGTGACTCACCCCGATAATGGCATTGAGTTCAGCCATGGTAACCTGCTTGGCCCTCTCCACTGCTTGGACCACCTGTTGCTGGTGCTACACACACACACACACACACACACACACACACACACACACACACACACACACACACACACACACACACACACACACACACACACACACACACACACACACACACACACACAGAGAGAGAGAGACACACAGAGACACACACATTAAATACCACAGAAAGAAAACAGGAGGAGAAAGGCACTGCATTAGTATCCATGCTGTATGTTACAGAATATAGTGTAAACATCATGTATATTGCATGTACAGTCAGTCCTAAGGATTACAAGAACCAAACTGGAAAAAAAGGTAGTAAAACAGCTCGACTCTGCTTGTACAGGGGGTATAAATATAAATGTCTGGATTGGGCAACCATGCACACAAACACTGATGGAAAAAGTCACACAAAGACTGTACGGCCACATGCTCGTTGACACGTACACACACACACACACACACACACACACACACACACACACACACACACACACACACACACACACACACACACACACACACACACACACACACACACACACACGTGCTCAAAGCCACACTAACTAAAATCTCAGTCCTGTTTACACAAAATCCCAATGTAATCAGTCACACAAACGCAAATATGCATGTGTGCAACAGTACACACACACACACACACACACACACACACACACACACACACACACATATATACACACACCCAGTGTCAATATTGATCAAACTGACAGAGCTGTGACCATCCTGTCTCCAGGGAGCTCACTCATCAGTGCACGCTCACACTCAAGGACGAAAAGAAGTGTGTCTGCAGGTTTGTACTCCGATCCACGCATTCGCACATACAACCAGCGCACGTGCACACACACACATGCACATATACACAACAGAATCATATTAACCTCAATAATCCTTACTTATTTAGGTTGTATGGAGCAGATATGAATTAAAATATAACTTTAAGAAGCAATTAATGAAGGCCAAGCGCACACGCAGAAATGCTGATAATGTTGCTGAATGATAAGAGGGCACAAAGCAATTTTTAAGGAGTAGCTGTATTTAATTCAAAGATAATGGGATCTAAATGCTCGGAAAACAATAAAATTTAATATAAGTCAGAGAGCCTTCTTTATGGCTATATAGTTGGCTCTAATGCTATAATAAGTAGTTCTGTGTTGTTTCCAGTGACATTGATACCTGTGGGAATTTGTTTAATATCAGTACATTTTGATTTGGTACAAAACCACAGGAACTCAAAATAGTATTTAAGTACAGTACTTAAATGTAATTAGTTACCACAGCCTCAAAATTGACCATAAAGTTGAATTAACATGTCTGACAAAGAAAAAACTAAAACTTCTACCTAGCAACATTTGTTCAAGTGCATTTATTGAAAGTGTTTCTGTTTTTGTACACTTTATTCAATTTGAGCAGCATGTATTTCAATGAATGTTTTTTTTTGAGAACCTCGGAATTTACATTCTCTCTTTAACTTGCTTAGCATGCAACTGTATCAAGCGTGTCTTGGCGGTGGTGACACTTACCTCTTGAGAGAGGAAAGGGATGATCTGAGCGCAGATGGCACTGAGCCGCTTGACAATCTCCGCCTGTGATGGAAGGAGAGAGACAGAGACAGGGAGAGAAAAATGGATATATGATTGTGTCGCATAGCGTTGGATAATACGTACACAATGAACAGAGAATATGATACACCTTTACAGTACATTAAGTCTCTGCTGCATTAAAACACTTTTCTAATGAGCGAGGAGTTCTGCCAGTGACAACTCCGCGAGGATGAGAGAAGAAAAACGTGGGGAATGTGGGAGTGAGCAGCAGAGATGGAAGGACGGAGGCAGCACTCCAGTCATCATCTGGTCTTTTAGCACCATCACACTCTCATTTAGCTCGTCCTCACACACTCTTACGCACTTCAGTCTTCCTCTCTCTCTTACTCTTGCACACACAAACATATGAGTGAACAAACACGCATTAGCAAAAAGCAGAACACCTTAAAGAATTTCTCTCAAGCTCTCCACCTGTCACAGCCGGCTATTTGCTGCCATTACGTTTCCTAAAACTCATAAAAACCATAAAAATGCTCTTTCTTACACACACACGTACACAGAAACACACGCGCACTGCAAACCTAGTAACCATCCGCAGAGTACAGCTGCCTGCACACACAAACACATAAAAACATACACACACACACACACACACACACACACACACACACACACACACACACACACACACACACACACACACACACACACACACACACACACACACACACCCTCTGCGGTGTGTCTAATTCTATCTGTCTGAGTGCCCTCAGCCTCATTTTGTTCTCTTCTTCACTCAGCCGTTCTCTCTTTTTCTACAACAGCTCTCACACTGAGCCATTATTACCCTATTCATCCTCTTCCTCCCATCCCTCTCCCCCCTCCCTCTCTCATCTCCCTCCCTAGCTCGCTTTGTCTCGTTTTATCCCATCTTTCTATTTTTCAATATTATTTCTTTTCTCTCTATTCTAATTTATCCTCCCTCGTTTCTCTCAGCCGCCCTTTTTCTTCCTCTTACATCAGTTGCTCTCTTATGTTTTTTCTTTCTTACTTTGCTGTCACACATTACCACGGCCATGCTACATATATACAATTTTTATTTTTCCTCCCTCTACCTATTTTGCTTTTCTCTCTTTCTCTCTCTGTGTCCCTCTATCCTTACTAACACATGTTCCTGGCACTTTAAGATACTGGAGAAGAAGAGAGAAAGACAGCAAAAGGGTGATGGAGGGCAGTGCAATGACTGACAAGGCTGTATACACCATCATGCGAAGGCTCACACACACACACACACACACAACCTGTCAGTTACAGCCAGTCTCATCATGACTTCATAAACTGGCTATCACTAGACACACAGTTCTGTTCCAAGGACAGTGAGTCTTATCACATCATACATGTGTCAATGTATGCATGCGTGTGTGTGTGTGCATGAGAGAGAGAGAGAGAGAGAGAGAGGTTGTGCCAAGGTTCCTCAGTATATCAGGGATGATATGCATGTACAGTATGTGTGGGCTAACCACAGAGAGGAAAGTGACACCAAGAGAAGGGAAGAGAGATAGCATAAGAGAATTTGTTTTTACAATAGGAAATTGCAACATTTCTTATTGCTGTATATTCAACTAATTGCCTTTCCTTTAAAATCTTCTGTATGTTTCTCTGCTTGAATCAACTTAATCCCCTTCTTTGCTTTCTACTTCTTCTACTAGTTTTTAGCTGGAAAAAAAGACATAGTCCTTACACTCATTCTTACCACTGATAATGATCCCCCTGTACCCAACTGAGAATTTTGTCAGTCGAATGGCTGTTCAAGAAGATTCAACTGCTCAATGCCACACTAAATTCCTATATCAGCTCTTCCTGCAGTGGAAAAGCATCTATGTGAGTCTCTTGTTTAAGCCTACCTCACGTTTTAATGCCTTTATTTGTGATATCTGTGATATGAAAACATCAGATTTCCACATAGTCAGAGAACATAAAAGTGTGGATGCTGCCCTCCGTTAACTACCACTCTTTTCTACTTCCATCGTAGTTAGTTTTGTAGTTTGCAGTCATTTTGAGACTAGGTTTGTAAAGTTTACAGCCTGCCATGCTATTGCTCTATGTACAATGACGCAGTTAAAAAAACAAAAGTGCAGAAATTTGACTGACGAAATGCAGGTGGACTTGGGGTCTTCTCGACTGATGATTCCAATCATTGACTTTTCCACTAATTATTGCATTAGTACACCATGTTGGCTTTGTTAACATGTAGCCTCAACAGGCTCCTTTCACAAATATATCTGTTTCCCTGTTTGAAATAAGTGTCAAGTGAAAGATGGAAAGATTCACTATGATTGATCACTAACTGATGGTGCAAATGATTATATTTCATGGACAAATAGTAAAACCTTTATATACAGGGTATACATTACACACTCTGTTCATTCACTATCTATTCTGCATCAACTGTCCTGCCTCAGTGATATCGCTGCAACTACAGCACATGCCTCCTCATGAACGACAGGGTGTCCTCAGGCCACAAAAATAATTCAGATGACCTGGGTCAGTTGTGCCCGGACAAAAGCCTATCTGACCGGACTGATGCTGGACAGGAAGGAAGAATAAGACAACACTGACCTGAACATGGTCAGTCTTTGAAGCTGCTTTCACTGACTGTTTCTAAGGTGGCTGTGAGTTTGATTAAAAGCTATACCAATAAACGTAACTGAATAGATTTTTTTTTGTGCGGAGAATGAAAGAAACAAACATTACCAATAAAGAGAGCTTCTTGTCAGTGCTGTTCAGTAAGGAAGAGCTCTCTATTCTATGTTACAACTAAAGAAAAATCAGCTACTTTGCATAGATAGATAGATAGATAGATAGATAGATAGATAGATAGATAGATAGATAGATAGATAGATAGATAGATAGATAGATAGATAGATAGATAGATAGATAGATAGATAGATAGATAGATATTCCTTTATTTGTCCCGCAATGGGGAAATTCCAATGTAACAGCAGCAAAGTGGATAGAGAGAAAAATAAATAAACAGTAAGAGTAGGAAAATAATAAAAACACTATGTACAAGAGAAAAAACAGTAAGAATCCACAACAACAGATAACACAAAATAGTAGCAGCAGCAGTTTCACATGGGCAATAGATTGCACAGTAATTATTGCACATTATTATTATTATTGATGCTGAGATGGGGGGGGGGTTACTGGGAGCAGTGCTGGTTGTTAAACAGCCTGACAGCAGCAGGAAGGAAGGACCTACGATATCTCTCCTTCACACATTTGGGGTGAAGGAGTCTGTCGCTGAAGGAGCTGCTTAGTGTACTGATGGTGTCCTGCATGGGGTGGGAGACATTGTCCATCAGTGATGATAGCTTTGCTATTATCCTCCTCTCTCCCACCACCTGCACTGAGTCGAGGGGGCAACCCTGGACAGAGCTGGCATAGCTGCCCAGTAGGTAGGGAGGTGCCATGGAAACCTGTGATGAGCACCATGCAGACTGTAAACTAAAAGCTTCCTAAAGCTGCAAAAAGGTGCAAAGTTAGGTGTTAATTCTCCATGTATTTAGTACTATTAGCAACCCTTCCCCAGTTCTATTCATTGTTATTCATGTTATTAATAAAAAATAATTTTGACAGTCATAAAATGTACTACCTGCTTACAATGTTGTTGATCACCTTCTGCAGCACTACAACATCCCACCGACTCCATGTTCTGGCTGAGAGGCAGTGGATGGTGTTATAAACGCAAGACGCCAATCAGCCGATGGGTTGACAATAGAGTGAAAGTGAGCTGGGCTGAAGCAGTCCGAGCTGTGCCAGGTGTCAGAAACAACACGGCACAGTCTCGTTCCACAGCCCTGCCAAAGTACAGCCACCAGGGAGTACTGGCAAAGACTGGCCGGATGGAGGGATGAACGGATGGAGGGATGAATGGATGGGCAGATAAAAGGAAAGAGGGGGCTGGTCAATAAACACCTGAGGGCAGATAAACTGCCAACTGGCATGGGGACACAGAGTGAGAGAGAAAGAAAGAATGACACAACTGCGTTTCATTTAGAAGAGCTAAAATTTCCAAAATTATTCTCCAAAAGAGACAAAAGATGGAGGAATGGAAACTGGAAGGAAGGGTTAGAGGAGAGGAGAAAACAGAAGAAGACAAAAAAGAAGAAGGAATGAACCGCAGGACAAGGACAGCCTGTTCCAGGGGCTGTGGCGCACATTAGTCTGTCAGAGCCTGAGGGACACACACACACACACACACACACACACACACACACACACACACACACACACACACACACACACACAGAGTGGCAGCATGCTCAGACTTGTCATCTCGTCAAATCATTGACAGGATGATAGTAGCAGCCAGCAAAACGTTTATATGATCACAGTGCCTTGATGCTGCATAATGATACAACCTGCAATATGTGCAAAGGTCTCACACACACACACACACACACACACACACACACACACACACACATTTATTTATATGTTACAGGTGTAACACATAAATCAGAAGTCTAAAATTTCAGTGATCGAGTCAACTCAAGTCTACCTACAAATAGATTTTTTCAGAACGGAAGTAATGCTAAAAGCTCGCAAGTAATCACATGCTCACACCAGCACTCACAAACACAGACAAAGCAAACTGTATTGATTCATTTCAAATGATCACTTGGAAACAAGAAGCAACAGAAAGCACAGTCACGGCCAGCAAAGGGATCTCTGCAACTCGGCAGAAGTAAAGTGTCGAACAGTCAACATCTTGCAAATAAGCAGCGATGGTTAAAGCCTGTTGAAGGACAGGTGTGTCTCTGTCTGTTCCTAACAAATGAAAAAGGCAAGAGGTTATATGCTGTCCCTGTAGTACATTATATGGCCCAGTCTAGCAACATTATAGCAAAAAGAATAAAACACGGAGGCAAATGATTAGGACTGTGTGATCCCTGTGAGGTTGTATAATGAGTTTACCAAGGGATATTTAAAATGTTTTATATAGTAGTAAATAAAGTATTTGATGTGCACTGAATGTT